CAGCTGCGGCAGGGCGGGAGTCGGCGCGCAGCAGAGCGCGGGAATTTGAACTCGCGCCACCCAGGAGGCCTCTCTGGATGACCGATATGGAAACTGAGGCCCCCCGGGGGTAAGTGACTGGGCCGCGTTCACTCCAACGGACGGCTGCACGGGGTCGAAACAGCTCGTTCAGGTATTTGTGAAGTACCATCGAGGTGCCGGCACAGCGCCGGACTCCAGCTACCTGTGCCGCTAATGGCGCCCATCCAGGGCTGCGGACTCCAGAACCAATGGGCTTTCGTCGCTGAAGCAAACCTGGAGATTTTCACCGTCGGGAGAAGCTAACTCCAGCTTTGCGAAGAGCCTCCTTGGTGCTGGGCTATTTTTCTACCCAATGGGCAGTCACAGGCGAGCCAAGGACCTAGGAAAAACAAGTCCGCCTCTTTCCTTTCACCCAAACTCCTGTCTTCAAGTCTCTCTCTTTACTTACTCTAACGGGAGACCCTACGTAGCCCCATCACTCCTTTTACATCCAGTCAAGACCTAGTCTTTGTGGCCCACAGGACCTCTTGTCTGGCCTGCCTTGGACCAAATCAGTCCTTCACCCCACAGCCATATTCTTAAACAACTTTAACCTATGCAGAATTTTCATTGCCCCCTCTTGCCCTCCAGACTGATTCCAGGCGTTTGCAGGAACCCAACAAGCCCTGGCTAACATGGCATCTTGCCTATTCCATCTCTGTTCCTGTGCTTAGCTGGACCTTGTACCTGGAGCCTGGCTGCCTCCTGCCACACACTCTCCTCCTGCTCAAGTTGGACCCTTTCCTTCAGGTCCCTCTTAAAAGTCATCTCCCTTGCTTTGAGCCTCCAGAGCACGGGAATGGCTGGAGCAAGAATGCACAGGAGACCCAGAGAATTCTGGGGATAAGAAAAACCTGCCAGCCTGATCCTCCAATGGCTTTGCTATCTTCTCACCACTAGGATTTTAATGAAAACTGACATTACCACTTCCCTGAAGAGCCGGTTTCAGAAAAGTCTCTGCAGACAGCTCTGAGGAAATTCTGTTTATTGGGAACGTGAGATCTTACCTCCAGAGCAATAGGAAGTGGTCATTTACTCCAGCCCCTGAGTTTATGTTGTCCTAGGCAGAAGACAGAAGGGCCAGGGGAAATGTAACATCACTAACAGTAAACGAAGCAGACTGTTTACTTAATATATGGTGTTATATTATGGTTTAGTATTCTTTCAACGAATCTATTAATATCAAGCATCATCAGTCACCTGCAGCCCCCCAAATTTGTACTTTTTTTAAGCATGTGAGATTTAGATTTCTACAAACTACTGAATGCACAAGCAGTGAAAACTGAATCCTCCAAACAAGTCATTGCATTGTTAGTAAACAAGGCAAGTCCAGGCCCACTGAACAGCAAAGTTATCTGAGTGTGATAACATGGCCCCATCCCTGGAAAGGGGCGCCTTTCACAAATCTTGCAGAGAGCAGGTCCAGATCAATGTCCTTTACTCGCCCCCTCGCTCCCTCTCCGAATGAGACTGGAGGGAGCCCTGTCCCAGAGGCTGCCTCACTGCATTGGAATGTCTGAGCTAACAGTACTTCCAGAGGGTTCATTGCTCCTCTGAACAGCACTGCCCAGACTTTCTGGAGATTTTAATTCACTCCACAACCTCGCCAACAGTTGCACACAAGGTGCCTTTTTTACACCCTGCTCTGTGTTCAGTGAGACATGCCGACCATCTCAGGGGAACAATGACTCCATTCACGAGGATTCTGAAAGTGCACCATATAACCTCCATGCTGTGGGTTGCTGCCAGCCATTATCTGGGAGAAGAAAGACTGACAGATGAAGCGCCTGAGAATTGGGGGAGCCCTGGACAATTTCCATGGAAAATTCAACTTCAATAAACTGAGTTAAGCATCTCTGTGTACAAGACCATTCTGCAGAGTCAACAACAGCCCCAAGAAACTGTACTGTGGAAACTATTTAAATATAGTCCATCCATGTTTGAAATTTCAGAAGAAAGCACACATTGCTTTTGAACTTGTTACATAATGGTCTCCATTCAATGGAAAGGGATTGAAATTAACGCTAGGATAGGGAATTTAAGTTGTAAAATAATGTTAAAAAATGGAGCCATCTCCCCTCTCTCTTTCTACCTCCCCAGCCTGTAATTTTCAGATGAGGGGGTGGTCTCTGACTTCATGTTCCTGGCTGCCAAGGGGAGGCCTCATACTCCCTGATTGGCCCTTTGCCACACTCAACAAGCCTGTCCGTCAGTTAACCCATTTATAAACAGTCCCTTCTGATGGAAACTGGGTAGTCATTAAAGGCACCATACACTAATGCATTGATCTTTGTTAAACAGCTGCTAATTGCCAAGCAGGTGAATTTGCCTTCAGATAACTGGGTAGTCTCAAAGGCCAAGGAAAAGACCAAGGAGCAAGCCAGCCCTTGGCTGTAGGAGTCGACATTTATTCCCAAAGTCTCTGCATCGGACTGTACTAGGCTTGCTAGTTCTGTGCAAACAGGCAGCGAAGAGAAAGCTCCAAACAATCTTTCACAGGCGAGGTTAGATGCACTAAGGTGGCTGGAGGTTGGTGGGAAACAGATGCCTTGTTAAAGCAGCGGGTAGCCTGCTCTCTATAAGGTGGTTAAGAGCAAGAGTGCAGGACATCCTGTGGGAACCAGAAGTGAAGCGGAGAAAGCCGATCCTTGACATTCTCTACCACCGCAGCCAGTGTGAGAGGCCTGGCTTTGTTGTGGGATCCCTCCATTTGGGATCTCAGATCTACTCCTCAGGTATGAGCCCTAAGGCCAGTTACTTATCTCTCTGTGGCTCATTTTCTTCTCTTTTAAATATGTTTACCCTTCAGGGAATTGTGAGGAGTAAATGAGTGAATCTACCTGAAGCACTTTAAACATACAAGGGTCTGGTGATATGCAATCAATTTTGTTTTTATTGTGCTCAGAGTACTTTAAAAAACTTGATCACTTTTGAATATTGCAAATATCTTGTTAAGGTTTTGAAAAAAAGAAAAAAAATCCATGTTGTTCTTAGTGGCCAAAATGAGAGGAAGAACGCTGTGATATAATCATGAATTCAAGAAAAATAATACTCACTTAAAAACACAGAAATGAGAAGCTATAGGTCAAAGTGTGCAGTCACAGTTATGTTAGATGAATGATTCTGGAGTTGTAAAGTATAGTAATAGTACTGTGCTGTGTTCTTCCTCAGCGCTGCCTGTGGAGGTGGCGGCCATCTCCTACCCTGCATCATGGCTGCCCTCGGACCCCTGGTGAAACCCAAGATCGTCAAAAAGAGGAGCAAGAAGTTCATCCGGCACCAGTCAGACCACTACTTCTAAATCAAGCACAGCTGGCAGAAAACCAGAGGGATTGACAGCAGGGTGTGGAGGAGATTCTAGGGCTAGATCTTGATGCCCAACATCAGTTACGGAAGCAACAAGAAAATGAAGCACATGCTGCCCAGCGGCTTCCGGAAGTTCCTGGCCCACAACATCAAGGAGCTGGAAGTGCAGCTGATATACAGTAAGTCTTACTGTGAGATCGCCCACAACGTCTCCTCCAAGAACCGCAAGGCTATGGTGGAAAGAGCAGCCCAGCTGGCCATCAGAGTCACCAATCCCAACGCCAGGCTGCACAGTGAAGAAAACGAGTAGACAACTGGTATGCATGTTTTATTTGTTTCTAAATTAAACCACAACACCCCCCCCAATAATAATACTGTGCTGTATGTTGTAAATTTTCTAAGAATAAAATTTAAATGCTCTCATCCCTTCCTCCCCACACACAAAGTGTGTCAAGATGATGACTATATTAATTGGCTTGACTGCAGTAATCATTTCACTATGTGTATGTACATCCAAAAATCATGTTGCACACCTAAACCATAAACTTTTTAAAAAAGTAAGAATTTAGACAAAGAACAGAAGAAGTTAAAGTAAAAAAGTTTTGACAAAATGTTTGATGGGTTAGGAGCAACATTTATTTGCAAAACATTTATATTCCTCATTAATTAGTATAGATCTAAAATAGAAAAAAGGAAAACGTAATCTTGTCTATAAACTTTATTGAGTCTCCCCCGTGACCCTAATTGTCAGTCAATGAATTGGCCATAACCAAGGGCGGAGGCTGTAGAGGGGTTCGTAGAGACTACTTTGTTCCTGGAGTCTCTAACCAGAACCTTGGTGCTGATTGGGTCTACCTGCCTCTACCCAGTCCTATTTGGTTTCTCTGTCACTTTTCTTTCGTGAGCACTAGCATGTCACTATCTGCCAGCATTCCCAGCCCCTTCTATTACTACTACCACCTGAAACACGTCCTCACCCTGTCCTTCCAGATAATGATGATAACAGCAACCG